CTAGTGTTAGGGTGGTTCTCACGTACATAACATACACTAGTACTGTTCCTAGTGTCAGGGTGGTACTCACATACATAACATACACTAATACTGTTCCTAGTGTTAGGGTGGTATTCACATACATAACATACACTAATACTGTTCCAAGTGTTAGGGTGGTATTCACATACATCACATACATAACATACACTAGTACTGTTCCTAGTGTTAGGGTGGTACTCACGTACATAACATACACTAGTACTGTTCCTAGTGTTAGTGTGGTAGTCACATACATAACATACACTAATACTGTTTCTAGTGTTAGGGTTGTACTCACGTACATAACATACACTAGTACTGTTCCTAGTGTTAGGGTGGTACTCACATACATAACATACACTAATACTGTTCATAGTGTTAGGGTGGTTCTCACGTACATAATATACACTAGTACTGTTCCTAGTGTTAGGGTGGTATTCACGTACATAACATACACTAATACTGTTCCTAGTGTTAGGGTGGTTCTCACGTACATAAGATACACTAATACTGTTCATAGTGTTAGGGTGGTTCTCACGTACATAATATACACTAGTACTGTTCCTAGTGTCAGGGTGGTACTCACGTACATAACATACACTAATACTGTTCCTAGTGTTAGGGTGGTTTTCATGTACATAACATACACTAGTACTGTTCCTAGTGTTAGGGTGGTTCTCATGTTCATAACATACACTAGTACTGTTCCTAGTGTCAGGGTGGTACTCACACCCTATCATACATAACATACACTAGTATTGTTCCTAGTGTTAGGGTGGTACTCACACCATATCATACACAACATACATTAGTACTGTTCCTAGTGTTAGGGTGGTGCGTACTCACACCCTTTCATATAAAACATACACTTGCACTGTTCCTAGTGTAAGGGTGGTGCGTACTCACACCCTATCATACAAACNAACATAACATACACTAGTACTGTTCCTAGTGTCAGGGTGCTACTCACACCCTATCATACACAACATACATTAGTACTGTTCCTAGAGTTAGGGTGGTACTCACGAACATAACATACACTGATACTGTTCCTAGTGTTAGGGTGGTACTCACACCCTATCATACACAACATACATTAGTACTGTTCCTAGTGTAAGGGTGGTGCGTACTCACACCCTATCATACAAAGCATACACTACATTGTAGTACTGTCATAGTGTTAGAGTGGTACTCACACCCTGTCATACATAAAATAAACTAGTATGTATATTGTTCCTAGTGTTAGGGTGGCACAAGGCACTCACACCCTGTCCTAGTGTTAGGATGATACTCACAACTTGTCATACATAATATTCACTAGTACTGTTCCTAGCGTTAGGATGGTACACACCCTAGAATAGAAAATATACACTAGTACGGTTCTGGGTGTTAGGGTAAAGATCACACCCTTTTATACATAATATACAATAGACTGCATGTTCCTAGTGTTAGGGTGATACTCACACCCTGTCATACATAATACACACTAGTACTATTCCTAGTGTAAAGGTGGTAATCACACCCTGTCATGAGAAATATAAACTAGTACTGTTTCCAGTGCTAGGGTGGTAATCACACCCTGTCATGCAAAATATACATTAGTACAGTTCCTAGTGCTAGGGTGATGCTCACACCCTGTCCTAGTGTTAGTGTGTTCTCACACCCTGTCCTAGTGTTAGGATGATACTCACACTCTGTCCTAGTGTTAGGGTGGTGCTCACACCCTGTCTTAGTGTTAGGTTGGTACTCACACCCTGTCCTAGTGTTAGGGTGGTGCTCACACCCTGTCCTAGTGTTAGGATGATACTCACACCCTGTTAAACATAATAAACAATAGTACTGTTCCTAGTGTTAGGGTGGTACTCACACCCTAGAACACAAAATATACACTAGTACAGTTCCTAGTGTTAGGGTGATGCTCACACCCTGTCCTAGTGTTAGGGTGTACTCACACCCTGTCCTAGTGTTAGGGTGGCACTCACACCCTGTCCTAGTGTAAGGGTGGCACTCACACCCTGTCCTAGTGTTAGGGTGGCACTCTCACCCTGTCCTAGTGTTAGGGTGGTACTCACACCCTGTCCTAGTGTTAGGGTGGTACTCAGACCTTGTTCTAGTGTTAGGGTGGCACTCATACCCTGTCCTAGTGTTAGGGTGGTACTCAGTCCCTGTCTTAGTGTTAGGGTGGTACTCAGACCTTGTTCTAGTGTTAGGGTGGCACTCAAACCCTATCCTAGTGTTAGGGTGGCACTCACACCCTGTCCTAGTGTAAGGATGGTACTCATACCCTGTCCTAGTGTTAGGGTGGCACTCATACCCTGTCCTAGTGTTAGGGTGGTACTCATACCCTGTCCTAGTGTTAGGGTGGTACTCAGCCCCTGTCCTAGTGTTAGGGTGGCACTCACCCCCTGTCCTAGTGTTAGGGTGGTACTCACACCCTGTCCAGGTGTTAGGTTGGTACTCACACCCTGTCCTAGTGTTAGGGTGGGACTCACACCCTGTCCTAGTGTTAGGGTGGCACTCATACCCTGTCCTAGTGTTAGGGAGGTACTCAGTCCCTGTCTTAGTGTTAGGGTGGTACTCAGACCTTGTTCTAGTGTTAGGGTAGCACTCAAACCCTATCCTAGTGTTAGGGTGGCACTCACACCCTGTCCTAGTGTTAGGATGGTACTCATACCCTGTCCTAGTGTTAGGGTGGTACTCAGCCCCTGTCCTAGTGTTAGGGTGGCACTCACCCCCTGTCCTAGTGTTAGGGTGGTACTCACACCCTGTCCAGGTGTTAGGTTGGTACTCACACCCTGTCCTAGTGTTAGGGTGGCACTTACACCCTGTCGTACATATTATACACCAATACTTTTGTTATGGCTTGTTTATCGATTCAGTGTAAATTGTGTGGCCATAAAATTCATTCCTCTTATCTATTTTTCACATTTGCATGTTATCTATGTTATTCAAAACAAGTACATATTTTGCAGCAAGTCATACTTTTGAAGGACTTCCTGTTTAATTTCAATGTGTATTGTACACTTATGTAAGTCAAGCCACTTCCTACAGGTGGCAAATCTAAAATTTGAAGTTTGCCAATTTTATTATCTGACTTAGTTGTATTAAAGGTAAATAAAAAGCACACATTATACTTCCCACTATCATTATCTTGTTGTATAAATAATTTCCTCATGTTTTATTTAATTATTTTCATGACCAGGAATATTTCAAGTAAACAAGTAAATTAAAGTCAAAACAAAAGATATCTATTTTTGAAAGCTGTGCATGTTAATCAGTTGTCCAGTAAATGTTAAAAAATGTGTACACTGCATATTTTTTTTTTTTTTTTTTTACACCTAAAAATCAATAAGGAATTTCTTATCAGTACAGTACCGGTATCCACAGTAGCCTTTAGTAGGCATATCAATAGATATCAAAATCATGAGGGGAAATGAGAAATAAATACCCTGTTATCTAAAAGCTGTTCTATATATATGATTAACAGCGTTAAACTATAAGTACACTATAATAGAAATGTTTAAAAGCATGCATGGAATGATTCAGAATTCTGCCACTATAGTGGTGCTCAATTACAAGGTTCAACAAGTCAAAAGTCATCCTATCATTTCAACACATGGATACATTTATGCAAGTGATGTTTGAAAACATTGATTACAATCAAAATTCAGGTTTATGTAATACTGGTAATTATATACCTAAACTGCATAGTGACATAGCTTTGGAACATTTGAACAGCTTATCGATACAAGTTCATTATATATATTCATTTGCATATATAAGTTCTAATCGTAATTAAGGGTTTTTGAATATGACCAACCAGTGGGTTGAAATAAAGGGTGACAGAGAGACTCTTTCAGCAGGCTGGTTTAATTTTGTGACCTAGATTAATAAATGAAAATTATATAATGTGTGATTTTGTAACGTTTTGTGTCATAAAATGAGTTTGACATGCAAATTTCTATAATCAATGTAAATTAAAATGACTACAACAATTAGCAGCATTATTCTGCACTAAATAGTATATGATATGTTATATATGTTCTTTCAGAAAAATCAGATAGGAAAATAGGGAAGTTTATCAGTTGCCTACCTGATAATTACCCGGCTTCGAGTGTTTTTGTACAGTCATATTTATCTACTACTTGTTAACTAGTAACGATATATATAACCAACTTACCAATTTGCTACAGCTTATCTGTCGTATTCTGCATTCCAATATAGTCACAATCACAATGTGTCTGTGGTAATACGTTATCCGTTATCTCGGCGTGTACTGTACTGCGGTATTACCAGCTAGCAAACTGAAAGTCCGCAGTAGTCTCACGTACTTCAAATAACAGACCCACGTTGACGAGTTCACCGATGCGGAACAGGTAAACAGAATCTCAAGCATGGCGATCATTCGACTTCATTGTCCTCAAAGAGCATCAACCTGCCAACAGACTGCAAACATATGGGATCTCATTCATGTTTATTCTATCCCGGAAGTTTTTATAGAAATTGAAAACAGTTCATCGCGCGTGCGCTTGACTTTTTTTTCACTGGCTGTAATATGTTACACCCTATATAAGAGGTGGTCTCGGGTGCGCAACAAATGTTTAAAGAGTTGTACAGATTGGCGTAGGAAGAATCTTTATAACAACCTATTAAACGCGACATATCAGTAAACGGGAGCGATGTGAAGATAATAGGAAAAGGAAAAGCCTTAAAAGAGCAACAAATGGTTTCTGATATTTACTGATTCCAGCCGGAGACATATATGTCTCTGCTGATTCAGAATACTGCTTTCAGAATGAGGTAAGATAAACTTTATTCAAAGCCGGATAGTCGAGGAATAGCAATAAAACATACTGTAATGAGATTAAGACCGACATAACAATAGGGGGGATCGGTGCAAGTTTGGCCCATTTTTTATTAAAGTCCGTTCTGGGAAGTATGGCAGCACGTCCGTTTTTGAACATTATTTAATTTTCACTGTCGGACTGTCATAAAGTATGTCACTAAGTATGCAACGTAAGATTTTACCGCCAATTTTACAACTTTTTATGTGTTACATGGGCCGAACTTGCCACGGTTTCATTGGCCGAACCTGTACGGGCCCAAATTGATATTTCAATAAATTCTTAGTTCTTAGCAATTCCATTTACAGAAAGTTCGCACAACTAGAAGCGAGATCATAATTTTATATATATATATAACAACACTTTTTTAATCTTGTTTGAAAGTTAAAACTTCTGGAGACGTTGTAAGTTGTCCAAATATAAAAGTTTTAAAATAACTTTCTCTAGGTCGGTGGGTGATTTCTGGAGTATCCAATAACACAACCGTACAGATATTATTGGGGGGAAAAAAAATCTGTGTTTAAGGTGTTAGGTTTAGTCCGTTCTCATACTATTAAAGAATTGTGTATACTAGGAAAATTCATCTATGAGGCAAACAAATTAAGCGTATTATAATGGAAAATGATTGTCTTCGTTCTCTGTACATGTACATTGTCCATGATTTGTGTATAATATGTATTGTATACTGATGGGCCAATGGCCTAAAGTACGAATAAAACTTGTAAACTTGTAAAAGTATTCCAAACGACACAACGGCACAACATTCCGATGCCTAGGTCCTAACTGAAGTTACAAATAACAATCATACCCTAAGCACATTACACAATGGCAATTAAGTAACTAGTTTTTGAGTGACCATTCTTAGCAATAGGCCTTTCAGACCCAGGCCGTACCCGACCAGGTATAAGTCTGAATTGTCTGATTTTTTTTCGTGCTCACGAGGCTTGATCTCCCTTCCTTTAATCCATGTATGTGAATGATTTTGAAAATGAACTTATTACTACTTCCCGTGACGCTTTATTCTTAAGAGATATTTCTCTGTTTCTTCTTATGTATGCAGATGATACTTTCCTTTTCTCAGAATCTGCCTCTGGCTTGCAGAAAATGTTAGACTCCTTAATACAATATAGCGACAAATGGCAATTGGCAGTCAATATGGAAAAAACAAAAATTGTTGTATTTCGTAATGGCGGAAGATTACGAGATGGCGATTTGTTTTACTTTAATGGCAATGAAATAGAAATTGTTGATCGATTTAATTACCTTGGTGTACTGCTCAGCTTTAATGGTAAGTTTACAAAAACTCAAGTTACTATTGCTGAACGAGGTCGTAAATGCATGTATAATGCGTTAAGAATTTGTAACAATTTGTCCCTCAATGTAGAATCTAAACTTAATGTTTTTTAATGTCTATGTTTCCTCCACTCTTAATTACGGTTGCGAAATATGGGGTTTCAATATTGCGGACAAAGTAGAAAAAGTGCATGTTGATTTTTTTAAAAGAATTCTGAATGTAAAAAAATGTACGCCATCTTTTATGGTATATTCGGAATTAGGACGTCTGCCTTTGCATATCATCAGGAAGTGTCGAATAATCAAATATTGGTTGAAACTAATAAAATGCGACAATTGTGTTCCTAAGTCAGTTTATGAAGATATGGATGAATGTAATCACAGAAACTGTAATTGGCGTTGTCAAGTTAGAAAATTATGATTGTCTTCTGGTTTTGGTAATGTCTGGTTAACTCATTATGTTGATAATGAAAGGGTATTTTTACATTGTTTCAAGCAGCGTTTGACAGATGTTTTTATTCAAACAAGGAATGAATTTGCTGAAAGATCATCCAAATGTTATTTGTATAAACTCCTGATAGATAACTTTACGTTACAATTTTATCTAACAAAGTCTATTCCAGATGCGTATCTTAAACTTATTTCGAAATTACGACTTTCATCGCATCAGTTATATGTAGAAGAAGGTCGGTATCGTAATATTCCGAGGGCGAATAGGTTATGCCGTTATTGTAATCAAAACCAGGTAGAGGACGAGTTCCATTTTGTTCTGATTTGTCCACTCTATGTTGACATTCGTAAAAAGTTCATTAAAAAGGATTTACTGGAGCCGCCCATCTTCATATAAACTTTCCAGCTGCTGGCTGTACATAACAGAAAAGAGCTGTGTAATTTAGGAAAATATCTGCAATCAAGTTGGTTAGAACGGTCTAGATTCCAACCTTAGGTTATTGTGTTTTTTATCACACTAACATTTGAGTACTTGTTTATTTCCAGGTTAACACATATTGTTTTGTCCATCCCCTGATCACTACATCACTGTATACAAATTGTATGCCCTTTTTTGTTTGTTTTTATAATTAACATACTCTTTGTTGAGCCCCGGTTATTAAGAAAATGTTGTCACCTCATCTGTTTTCCGATAGCCACAGTACACTTAGGTGAGGTAATTTTATAAGAGCTGTCCATCTTCCGATAATTTATTTATCTTGTACTTTATAATAATTTAAAGAATTATACTGTCCATTTATACATACGATGTACAAGATTATGCTTCATTCATGATGTTATAATTATTTGGTATTTCATAGCACTGATGTATCAATTATACGTTGCTTATATGCTTATGAGCCGTAAGGCTTCAAGTTGAATAAACAATACAGTACATGTTTACCCGACCAGGTAAGCCAATTTAGCTGTCCTTTGTCTGAGACTAAATGCAGTGTCCGATCTGGTAGTAACAGTTACTCCCGTTACGTAATCGAATTACGTAAAAAGTGAAAATGGTATACGATGGACATAGTCAATGCATAAGTTAATCTGACGACAATGGTTCAAACGAATGTCGACTTCAAAGAAAAAGCTTCGTGAATAGAACTTATTTAAATTGACACAAGTTAAGGAAAAACAATTTACACAAAAAAGTTACAGGATATTAATTATATTTATGTCACACGATGAATAAATTAAATGAAATATTGGTAGTTTAAAACCCGCCTAATAACGAATATAATGAGATATGAAATTAAAGTTCAAATTTAGCACTTTTATCATAACATTCTTTATGATACAAATATATATACTAGCCTCTCAAAAGAGATTTTCTCCTGTTTAGTAATTTTACATTAGAGTTTTCCTTGCCATTTTTTTCTTGTGAATGCCCAGCCAACTAAACTGCTAGGATCCTTACAAATGTAAATATTAGCTCAAAAACAAATCCTGTCTCCCGTATGTAGATTTTTTGTATCGTTGATGATTGGTAAAAATGTATTCACAGTATAATTTTTGCATCAATGACGCCATTTTTCCCAAGTCAAAGCTAAAGTAGATATATGTTCTTGTGCGTAACGTATATGATGGGCCAGTTGGCGCAGTGGATACAACGCGCTCGCCATCACCAAGATGGCCGGATTCAATCCTGGTCACCTGCCCGACCACGCGGGTTTTCTCCGGATACTCCATCTTCCTTCTACATGAAGAATTAAATCCTCGACGTGCTTCCGTCAGGGCACAAAAAGAATGATTGAGATAAGTTGGGAAAAAAACTGTTTGGTAATTGCTATAGAAAAAAGTGCATATTACATATTTGACGATAAGTGTAAGTAAGTGCATAGTCAGCAGAGTACAGTTGAAATAACTTGATCCTAAAAATAAAGGGCATGTGTCAGATAAACATGAATAGCGGATTTATCCTGCACAACACACCTACATATATATATATAGGTGTATATTTATAGTTTATATTTATAAACTACATTTTGAATTCTTTTTTTTTCGATTTTTTTCTTTCTTCAAAAAGTTATTTCCCCTGATTTGGGAATTGTGGAAACCATAGTTACCACATCAAAAAACGCCAAAAAATGCAAAAAAAACATGATATCTGTTCCATCCTGAAACACCGGATTGAATATAAAATTTTGTAACTGTCACCGAGGTTTGAAAGGTAATGATGCCAAACAAAATTAAACAGTTTCTGTCTGTAACTAAATATAAATCGGCACGCGTTGTGAAAAAAGTAATACGTTGCTGAAAAGGGGCGTTGAACTCGGGTTGGTTGTCTGGACAATTATTGTTGATTTCGACATAAATGAACTATGCATTTGCTCTTTTATGAGTGGTGATGCATACATAAATTATGTAAAGACTATAACCAAACTTTCAAAAATGTTAATTATTTCGTTCATATTTTCAACAAATGGAATTCAAAAGCTGATAAAATTTTAGACGATGAAAAATAAATGTACACGCTGACCTATTGGTTTAATGCGGCTCTTTTTGAAGATATCTCCCGGTAGAAATATTAACAGAACCTTGTTGATGAAGGATCTTCAGAAAATATCCGTATATTTACTTTTTGCGCCTGTGGCAAAAACTGAAATAAAAGCATCGACAGAGTCTGAGAGATAAATGCAACGGACATCAGTTCCAAGATTTTCCTGTTATTTTTCATCCTTCCAGAAATAACCGATGAAGGCCGATGGAGTGTGACATGTTTGTGACGTCATTTAAGCTTTCAGTTGACAAATAATGTCACAAAGGATAGAAAACGGGTGTAAATATAAGACTGACACGTAATGTCACAAAGGATAGAAAACGGGTATAAATATAAGACTGACAAGTAATGTCACAAAGGATAGAAAACGGGTGTAAATATAAGACTGACAAGGCGTAAAACATAAACAATGCTTGATGTTTGGGTGTAAAATCACAAAAGGCCATGAAACAGGAACCACGTCAAAGTCATACAAGGCATGCATCTGGGGACATTTCATCATAAACTGTATTCGATTCATAGTTATACATGTAGTCCTATAATTCTGACACGATCGTAATTTTAACAAATCTCGTATTAGCGCCTTATGAATATTTGTCTGCAATCCTGCTCAGAGTCATATACAGGGTTATATTATACAACACGGAAAAGACTGCAGCCCAATACTTAGATTTACTTTGTTATTGGCTTTGAAAAACCCCATTAATATATTGCAACTGTTCCTATTTCACTCGGTTTCTCCAAAATTGAGGTACATTTTCAATAATGAGCCAACAACAGGTAGTCTTATATATCGGTCAGGCATCTCCAGCGTTATATATACATCTCAAATCCGCGATAACTGACATTAGTAACGTTGCATAGGAAATGTAAATATATGGTTGTACAGACTAACAAAGCGAGAAACCGGCATATAAAGTTACAAAACGAAACAGTATTAATTCACATAAGGCATGATATAAAAGGTCATTTATGAAGTTGAACAAGGGGTGAATCAGTTATGTAAAGTCACATAAGGTGTGAACCAGCTGTGTAAAGCCACACAAGGCGTGACTAAGTTGTGTAAAGCTTCACAAGGCGTGAACGAGTTGTGCAAAGTCACACGAGGCGTGAAACAGTTGTGTTAAGTCAAATGAGGCGTGAAACAGTTGTGTTAAGTCTCACGAGGCGTGAAACAGTTGTGTCAAGTCACAAAAGGTGAGTTACGTGGTAGGGAGATAATAAAAAATCTAAAAATTTCCTCACTTTGATATACATATACTCACAGATTATCGTACATTGTTACATGTTGACATAACGACGTCCAGAGCACAATAATATAGTTGCATAGACAAATGAGGCTTCAGTGACGACAAAATAGATTGCTTTCAGTATTTTTGCTTTCAGTATTTTCTTGGCCCTAACTGTAGAGGGGGTAACAATCTGTTTACCTAAATATTGATTTTGATAGCTTTTTCGTTCTTTCTTCGATATAATCAAGTTGATTATTTCAAAAAAACAAAAATCTATTTTCATACATTTTTACATTTTCCACTGATTTTAATAAAGTCAATATTGCAATGCTATCAAAATAAAAGTTAGAATCCGATGACGAAAGACGGATGTTTGAATTTTCTCTCATAATGTTTTCCTTATTTTGTATTACATAGTTTTCAAAACATGAAACGTTAATCTCTTTACTAAATTTTTACTAAATAAAATATTAAACAAACTAAGTAAGTCTCATGCACGGTTAGGAAAAGTAATTTGTTGCATCTTGAAAACCGCTCAACGTAAAACATGTGAGAGATAAAAAGGCAATTATCTCATAGGATAAAGATGTTCGTTTTAAACAACCACTGCAGATTTCAGAAAAATCAATTGAAAACATGTAGAAATGCATAAAATATTGAGGGGAAAACCCGCTGGTGGCCTTCTTACATGGGACTATATGTTACACACCGTGAATATTTATATGGGAGGTAACTCTACTCACAAACTCGCAATGGCTGATGATGCTGGACTGGGCCTCCGCGATAAATCCCAAGGTATGGTCTTTTGTGCTTGCCGCTTATGCTATTTCAGTGTATATGTATATGAATTATCATTCCTAGTCAAGACCATTTGTTGGGGGTGGAGAAGGTAGAGCTAGTAGACTGTAGAGTTTGATAAATGCCCATTGATATTTTACCCGTGTCTGCAGCAGAATATGATCTAGGTCTTACACAATACTACATTGTGTATATAAACTCTCTTTCGATAGACGAAACATCTCTTATCGAATAGCGTATGCTAATTACAATTTCCTTACAATGGACATTCGTTGCACAGGTCTAGGTAAATGATACAAATCGCTTACTGAAGTTATGGCTTATTATATATATATTCCACACTAATGAATCGTATTGGAAGAGACCACTAATACTCGCACCCATAATATTGTACTGTACTGCTTAATAAGTACCGATTGCAGCACACAGGTATGACTTATCATGTTGCATGTAACAGTTATGAGTATATGGGTATGAAGTGTTGAGTGTTGGGTGTAACAACAATCAATACATTAGAAATGAGATGCAGTACACTGTCCAATGAAACAAGGAAATTCAATGTGAGAAAGGGAAGCATTAGCCTATTTCTCGGACTGAAATCATAAGTTTTCAGTTCTGATATCAGTTTAAAAAAATCGGCTTAAAGTTCAGTCTTAATTAAAAATCAAATATTTATTCCTGTTATCTGTACAGTATGGAAATTAAAGTATCCTAGAGGAAGGATCTGCTATATAATCTAACACACAAAATAACTTTGAAGGAAATACTAAGGAAAGATTTTGCAAACGTAAACAGAAAACCAAACACCTCTCCCAGACAGATGTTGGTTATATTTTCTCAGGGAGTGTATGGTGGGTATTCCTACCTCAGTCACTGAGGGTAATAACTTACTAGGACAATTTACCAAATTACATCCATGTAATTTATTAGATCATATTTACTGACCACAAGGATGGCTGCCAAAATGTAACATTATGTATCAGATTTTTTTTTTTAAAAAATCAATTGATAATTCTTGATACTTATTTGTTACAAATATTTAGAGACAGTAAATATGTACCACATGCATTTTGATTATTTCAGATAATACTAGATCAGGTTTTGAGAAAAGGGAAAAGAGAAGACGAATCAGAAAACTCCAAGATGCTATTTCTCAAAACCAGATCAACATTGTACAACAGATGATGGAGGAAGATTTCGATGTGGATTTCCAGTATCGTGGCCAGACAGCCTTGCAGTTGGCAGTAAAGGAGGGCTTATATGACATGTGTGTGCTTCTAATTATTAAAGGAGCTGATGTGAACAAGATAGACTCGGACATGAACAGTCTCCTCAATATAGCTTCATGGCGAGGATTTGATGACATAGTGGAATTGTTGATACAAAACAAAGCAGATGTTGACTCTCAGAATGACCTTGGATGCACACCACTTAATACATGTGCTTATAAAGGTCATGCATATATCTGTAGTCTTTTGTTAAAAGCTGGATCTGATTCTAACATACAGAACTCACATGGTCAAACTCCACTCCACACAGCAGCCAAACAAAGACATGTAGAGATCGTAGACTTGTTGAAGAGTTCTTCCTGTAACATGAACCCAGGAGATGAGAACAGGAAAACCCCAATGATATGGGCCGCTGATCTGGGGTTCACAGACATAGTAGAATCTCTTTTATCAGGAGGTATTATTCCTTTTTAGGTATTTTAATATTTCCATCATAAGTGTTTTTGTCTGTTTCTATTTGGGAATGATATTCAACACCATTCCCAATGTTTTTAAGGGGTTGAGAAGACCATGGGTAATATGAACCTTCAATATTTTAAAAAAATGGTCCAAACATTGAAAAAAATAAAGATTTTGCAGGATTCTTTCTAATTGTGCATATTTCTAGTATATTGTTATGTCATTTATATATACATCACATAGTAAAGAATAGATGTACATGTACTTAATTGTACTTGATTGTGCTATATGTATTTAAAATATTTTCAGTACATTGTAATATCATTTATGTATTTGTATTCACCATATATAAAAGAATAGATGAACATGTACTAAATGAACTTATGAATGCTATAGATATGTAAACATACTTAAAGTTAGACAAACATGAATACTATCAATTATTTTCTATACAGGGTAGGTAAAACACCCAAATTGTAACGAAAAAATACAGATGACAACAATTACAAAGTAATCACATAAATTGTGGAATTATTTCAGTACAGAAGGCAAAAAAAATCATATTTACCTGGATATGGCCACCTTTGAGGTAAAGTGGCATGACCTAGCCCTTAATATAGTGCTGTATTACTGACTCAAATCACAAAATTTTAGGTGCAGACCCTGACAAGCAGGATAACTTGGGAAGGACAGCTCTCTACTGTGCTGCCTCACAAGGTTATTTAGAGGTCACACAAGTACTCATCAAAAGAAAGGCCAACCTGAACCTCCAAACTACCAAAGGCTGCACACCCTTGTTAGGTATGTCGCTATCATTGTACATATACAATACATATACACTCTACACAGTTAAATCATCACTTAGGATTCAGGCTAATGTAACATCACATGCAGCTTGTTTCAAAGACAGTGGAACAGAAAAAGCTGCAAAATATCTTATAGATGGAACTGTTTTATTCATTGATAACAAATGTAAGTGTGGGGGTATATGTAGAAAAAATAATCCGGTGATGTCAACAACATTTTCAGGGGAGATAACTCAAACACATATGTGAAATTGCATGTAATGAGGATTTAGCATGTATCTGAAAACTTATCACTATTTTAAATTTCAAATAGACAAGAGTCTCACAGCCCTGGTATGATACTTCAGCCCATTGTTCTTATGATAGTCCTGTGATAGTAAACATACAATATCAGCATTTTCATTTAATTTCTGTAAGCAGATAATGTAGAATTTAAACTTAGCAATACCTAACTCCTTTTAACAGCATGTTGCTGGTGATTAAATTTTATACTTTTATTATAACAGATGCCATAGGAAGTTCTTGTTCAGGTTCCCTTGACATAGCCAGGCTGCTCATCAGTTCAGGGTGTGATGTGAATTTAGCAGATCGGCAGAGTCAGGCTCCCATACATGTTGCTGTCCGTCAGGGTAAGCTTGCTTTCTGGTGTCAGGAAAAACCCACTGCAGTCCATCAGGATAAATGTTGTGGTATTTGACTGATACATCCCTATTCATGTTGTCCTGGTAATTTAGTTTATTATAAACAAAAAATAGGATTGTTTCCTGTTTCTGCTTGAAAAAAATTAGGGTTGGTAGGTAGGCAAATTAAAAAAACACACCATTTTACTGTGCTTATATAGAGCAGTAGTTCTGGCTTTAACAAACTTCAGAGTAGGCATAAAACTCTAGGGTCGGTAGGGAAACCGGAAACACACATATAATTGTTTTTGCCTTACTCCTATGGCCAGACACGTGATTCCATTCAGCAATTTGTCAGCAGGGGTACAATGAAATTCACTGAACCCAGTATCATATGGATGTTGGTTCTGAGTCCCTCTCGTACAATCTGCTGACATTACTAATGTCCTAATTTGCAATGCTGTGCTATAGCTTTAATGCAAAATTGAAAATATTTTGCTGAAAGAAAAGTATTTTATTATTTTTGTAACTGGTAGTTTCCCAAATGTTTGGGTCTCCGACTGAGAATGCCTTGGCCTTGGTGAAGATTTTGGTGAGTGGGAAGTGTGATGTGAACCAGCCCGACAGTGAGGGATGGACGCCTCTCTACCAGGCAGCTTTAGCCGGTAACCAAGGTAATGCACCAGGCACCAATGGAACACCACATTGACATAATTAATATTAATAGTGATAGGAATTAGATAGTATCTTCTTAGCAAGTAATAGACAGTTGTTTTAAAATTTAGTGTATGGAGTCTGTGACTTGTTAAAGGGGCTGGTCGGGGAAAAAATTACAAAATAAATGGGTCTAAATCCGTTCTCTGGCCTTCCAAAAGTTATACCATGGCAATATGACGGTCAAGTTCTGCTTGCAATGTCCAGTTTTGACCACTGAAATCTCGGGGAAGCCCCAAGTAAATTTAGCGCAGATCTATTTATATATGTCACGTGGTTGTTTCGAAAGTGAGGCAGTGAAGATAACAACAATAGCACGCCGTCATGTGCCATGTCGGACTCAACTAGCGGACAAGACAGCAATGCTATACGTAAATAATTGTTTTCAAAGGTCATGTATGATGCAAGTGTAGTATTCCTACCTATATGTTGTTGTTATATATAACGGTATTGATATCTCGTGCCTATCATGACTTTTGCATGCATCTTTTTCTTTTGCCGCGATGTTTACATTTGGCCTTGTTGATGACGCGTGTGCAGTAAAATTACATCACTGATCTGGGTCAATTGAGAGTTTTAGACTGTCAGGTGACGATTTAGGATTTCTTTAATTTAATTATATTTTTTACTCTTAGGGAGTGAATTTCAGCAAAATTTGTATCGGTATATTTCATAAGAAGGTGTTTTAAACATGTGTATGCCATTTTAGCAAATATGACATTTTTTCCCCGACCAGCCCCTTTAAGCAGACAATTAAACTTTAAATTTTACACTATTTACGTTCACCTAAAAGTCAGTGTAAACACTGTGCACAATTTAGGATCAATTCAATATAAGTATTAAAGATGAGCACTATATATTATCAATTGAAATATTGGGAGCATCGTAAAGCATTTCATTATGTTTTGACATTGAATGAATGTTGAATACATGAATGAGATTAACTTATTGATTAAGATAGTTTTATATCACTGTGTTTGAACATAATATTTGAATTTTTAACATATTATACATTCTTTATATTTCCAAACTATTTTCAGTATCTTAAATAGAATATTTGTAATGTCTCAATATATCTCTTAACAGAAATCACCAAGATAATACTGGAAGGTCACGCTGATGTGAATATCCAAACAAAAAATGGAAACAGTGTCCTGCATGCCGGGGCGATGGGAAATAGTTCGGCAGTAGTAAACACGTTATTGTCAGCAGGTAAGTGTACCAGGCTGCTACACAAAACTTGGGTGATAACAGACAAACACAGTCTGAACTAATACCTCAGTCATAGCATGGAAAGTTTGGAGATTCCAAACCTGTCACTATTCATGAAATTAATAAGCATGAAAAGATAAACATAATCATGCTACCAGGATTGGTCCCAGGGTCAGCCATGCTACTAGATTTAGTCCTGGGTTAGCCATGTCCCTGGTGACTTAGTGTCTGGGTAAAAATAACATGGAAACTGTTGATATTGTGTTACTATCAAATTTGCTATGGCGCATCGATGGGACTAGGAAGTCAAGTGTCATAAAAAGAAGGTGCTGTCCTCCTTGGTATGGAGAGGTAGTGCCCAAAATTGGGAAATATTTGTACTATTACTATAATTACTATATACTATAATATATATCCAAGTGAGCAAAACAGGCTGTCTGGACCTCTTGTTTCAAATTTGCATTATGAAAACAAAACATATATATATCAGTGAAAATGCTGGTTTACACTTCAGAACTGTGAACATATTTCAAGAAATTTGTGTTAATTGCTTCAATTTTGCATCAGTAACTCTCAAATAGATGTTTAAGAAAACATGGTAATGCAGCTCTGCTTGAGTACAAACTGTAGAATAGTTGATACTTGGACCAGCACAGTAGACATTGATCAGTATAAACTTAGTTTTACTAACGCTCCTGATAATCTTAACATTTTACAATTACTGATAGATTTTGTTTGTCGTAAAACAGTAAATGTATTTGTCATGTGGGAATGGTATCATCTTCATAATATAATATAGTTTGACTATCCTGTCCCTGTCCTTAGGGTTACATTATCTGTGATGTGAAATACAAACAGAACTCAACAGTACTAGAAAAACAGAAATTTTCCTTTTGGGGACATTTTTTGTTATGTTGCTTTTACTAAATCGGTGCCGAGTGTATGAGTGCACACATGAGTTTATTGACATCCTGTGAACCAAATTAAGCTGCAGCATTGCCAACATGAAAAATTCTACGCAAGAAATATATTTTTGAGTCAAAATTTACTGGTAATTTAAAACTTCTGTACAGTACTGCTGACATACAGACTGTTAAGGGAAGATAACTCTTTTGTGTTACAGGTTCTGATGTGAACAAATCCAACTCGAATAATGAGCATGCCCTGTTTGCAGCAATCACTTGCAGAAGTAACATACAGGTAATGCATGCTTTTAAAACCTTTCAAAATTTCCGTGGGGAAAAACCCCCAAGACAGACTCTTAAGCATGTTAAACAAGTACTTACAATGGCCTGTATTAGGCAAAATAACTGAGTAAATATCATACCTGGTATTTAAGCTGTTCTATGCAACTAACTCAATGGTGCAAAATGAGTAGAACTGGCCGTCTTAGTTAACAAGGGGAGGGGGTAAACCATAGTGAGCCCCAATTCACAAGAAAGGGGATACACCTAAGTGAAATAGTTCATTTTGATTTCATACTTAAAGCAACTGTTTACTGATTGTTCCTTAATTATTTCACGAGACAAAACCTCTTCTTATAAACATATTATCCACCCTTGTTCTTCCACTTCTACATTTACATGTGCTTACCAGTACTTTTAGTGCTCCTATTTAGCTGTTTTATTTCTTATTTGTTCAGATTGTAAATGCCCTTATCAAATCTGGAAGTGACGTTGATTTGAAGGAGAAGAAGTTACACTGTTCTGTCCTTCATCAGGCTATCATACAGCACTACACAGAGGCAGCTTTACTTTTGATAGAGTCTGGTAAAGTATTGTCTGTTTAACTGTTTCTTCTCTTGATCTGATGTACAGTAAATGATGTTGTCTACAAACACACTTGTGGGTTCTCCCGGTATATCAAAGACATCTTTGTGTCTGCTGCTGTGACGTTGTTTTGTCTACAGCGATCAAGTTTCCCATAAGGTCCCATATTGGAAAGAGTTTCTTAGGTCCCCTAAATGGACCAGTGTCTGAAGTCCTCTACACGAAGTACTGTATACCGGAAAACTTTCACCCAGTCTAACTTTCACCCTACGCCAGTAAAATCTATATTCGCCCAGTGTTTCTTTGCCCTTTACAGTTCATCACTATGTTTTTAATGTTGCTTATTGTTCACTGTAATGATAAGTTTGCCCTCGACATGGAGGACAACAAAAGACAAAAGTTGTTCTTTAGCAAAAGCTTTGCTGTTATATTGTACCTTGTTGGGTCTCCTGGTATTCATTATAAATGATTGGCTGGAACCCATGTCTATGGATTAATAGTCCAGTGCTCCATTGATGGAGATAAAGGGAAATTCCTTATAACCAATTCAGTGACTAAATTGCTAGATGGATCACCACTATGACAAACATGTAAAGTCCAATTGCTATTTGTTGATAATGTGAATCATCCTTTCAAAGTCACAGTAAGAGATCAACAGTCTGTCAGATATGATAAAATCCAATTAATTTACAGACCTTAAATCCTGATATGAAGAAATAAAAATTCTATGAAAGTTCATAAATAGATGAAACATGGCTAGATGATGTGTTGCACACCGCTCTCAGATCAATGACGTCAAGGTCATGGCATGGGTAAAAAGATCAAATTATTTCAATGTTTTTGGAGCAATAATGTATATTGAATGGAATGTTTTGATAAAAGTTTATCAATTAGAGGATTCCTGGTTAAAAAGAGTTTTGTATACCAATCTTGGGTTCAAATACTCATGTCATCATAAGTGAGGTCAAAAGTCAGGTCATGCTAATTATTGGCCAATAACATTTGAATGACTCAACATGTTTTGGTGAAACTTCATAGATGGATGTGTTATGATAAATTATGTGTTAAAGTTCAAAATTGTTTCCAAGCAATGAAGTCTGAATGGCTGTACAATGTATTTCTTTTTATGAAATATCCCAAATGAGTGCACCTAGGCTAAATATATGTCATGGTAGACAGACAAGTACTACTGTGTAAAATTTCAGTGTAGTACTTTCTAATTAAAGTCTACAATAAAAAGTTTATTCTCTATACATGTATGGTGTGTACCAGATAGTACTGCTTTGTGGAAAGTCTTTCAAATGTTCATATATATTTTAAATGAAGGTATTTATTTCTGTGACACAGGGTGTAATATTAATGCTGTCACTGCCAAGCTGCAGACTCCTCTGTATACAGCTGCTGAGAAAGGCAATGAGACCGTGACAGAGAAGCTTATCAGCATGCCAAAGTGTCTGCTTAATGGCACCAAGCATTCAACAGTTCCCCTTCATGTCGCTGTCACCAACAACCACTCCAAGGTAGCCAAGATCCTCATCAAGGCTGGCTGTAACATCAACCAGGTGAGGAAAAGATACACTCAGTGTGTTATGGTCTAATCTGATTTGAGCGGTAAAATAGGCATAGCAGGGAGGAGGTAGGTTAAAGGAACAAGGAATTAAAGATAACGTGTTACGAAATTGAAGCGCTTTTCAATTGGATTTTTTCAATTGTATCACATATATGATGACTTCAGAACACATAGAAGGAAGATTTCTATACCACTGGTAAGGAAATTGAGTGTTTGGTAGGGAGAATTAAGGATTTGGTAGAGAGATCTCTTTCCCACTGGTAAGGAAATGGAGTGTTTGGTAGGGAGAGTTAAGGATTTGGTAGGGAGTTTGATATCCCACTGGTAAGGAGATTGAGTGTTTGGTAGGGAGAAGTAAGGATTTGGTAGGGAGATTTCTATCCCACTGGTAAGGAGATTGAGTGTTTGGTAGGGAGAAGTAAGGATTTGGTAGGGAGTTTGATATCCCACTGGTAAGGAGATTGAGTGTTTGGTAGGGAGATCTCTACCCCACTGGTAAGGAAATGGAGTGTTTGGTAGGGAGAATTAAGGAGTTGGTAGGGAGATTGATATACCTCAGGTAAGAAAATTGAGTGTTTGGCAGGGAGAATTAAGGATTTGGTAGGGAGATCTCTATCCCACTGGTATTAGGAAATTGAGTGTTTGGTAGGGAGAATTAAGGATTTGGTAGGGAGATTGATATACCTCAGGTAAGAAAATTGAGTGTTTGGTAGGGATATTTCTATACCACTGGTAAGGAAATTGTGTTTGGTTTTCATACAAGATTTCTTAACCTGAATCAGCAGAATGAATTTTCTTTTATATTGAACAATATTCATAAATTATCACTAGTTCTTATAATTTACAGTGGTCTTATAATCTGTAAACAGAAGAAACTTGCATATTGGTGTTAATAGACACTTTTTCCAGCAATTAAGGAATCTTCAACATCATGTTCAATTGTAGGGAGATTCTTCAGGAGGAGTTTTTAGGTCACTTGAGACAAAATCTCCCGGCGTCCGTCATCCGTCCGTAAACAATTTACATTTTCGACTTCTTCTCCAAAACCCCTGAACCAATTTCAATGAAATTTTGCAGAAACCTTCCATGGCCAAAGGTCAACAAAAATAGTGGCCGGTTTGGTCCCCAGCCCCTAGCTATAGGGGCCTGAGGGGCGGGCCAAAAAGGATCAAATTGACTGAAATTTCAAAAATCTTCTTCTCAAGACACAGATATGGTAGAATCAAATACTCTTCATAGATGGAAGGGTCTTAAGGTTTATGACCCTAGAGTCTCACGTTTACCCCCTGGGGAAGGAGGGGGGGGGGGGGGAAAATTTATTATGGTTTATAATGGCAAATGATACTTTGAATATTACATGTTAATAACTTGATTGGAATTATAACCCTGAGTTGACAGTTTGATACTTTGAAAATTTTGAGCCACCCCTACCCCCTAGGGCTGTAGGGTGGGGTCCAAAGGAGTCAGTGTGCTGAAATTTCTTCATTTTCCTTGTTTCGAATCAGAGGTGCTAGTTTCAAATACTTTTTAGTCTTAAATCTGTATGCTAGATATTGAATAAGATGGTTTTATTGTTTTTTGTCACTTTGAATAATATTTTTGTTCATGTTAAAAACAAAATCAACTCTCTGTATAAATATATCAGGTGACCGTTAAGGCCCATGGGCCTCTTGTTAAGTTTTGCTTATAAAAGATAGGGGACCTCCAAATAAAATAGGAGACATCAAATGTATTATATTTTATATTCATAAATTAGATCTTCAATGTATTATACAAAAATAAATTTTCATTCACAAATCTTTCTTAAAGTGAAATATCTAGTACTCCCTCAATCCTCAGTCCCTTCAGGTAGGGTGTAAGAATTGTACCTGCTGCCCCCATTGCTTTTTCCTAATATCTCCCTTGACACTGCCTCACTTTTGGCCTTTACTTGAGCGTTCGCCCCTGTGAGGAGGGCTTTGGGTTCTGTCCCCTGGCCGAGACATACTGTACCAGAGTCTGTAAAAATGGTAGTTTTTACTCCTGCTTATTAGTAATTTAGGAGTGGGACGACTGTTTCGCCCGTTGTCAGTATAATGTGACAGGGTTGGGGGTCCTGCTGGGTGTCTTTGGCAGTATGTTTCAGTGAGGTAACACTATAAATTTGGCATCAGTTCCGCACTATCACAAGGAGACAAACACAAACATATCGCAAGCTCCCAAAACACACATGCATGCATCTTGCACACAGGGGAGGCCATCCTTAAATAACCATAGCTGTTGATAGGATGTTAAACAATACTAAACCAAACCAAACCCTCAATCCTCAGTAAGTCCAATAACTTGCACATCCTGAATCACCGGCAAATCTACTTTTAAAACCCTACACTTGTACATCCCCAAAAATCAAAATAACTTCTAACTAAACTTCAAAATCAATAGTTTAAAATAAACTGCACATTATAAACATGTCTTGATCAATGAAGAAAGAGAGACTGGTTTTAAAACTTGAAATTTTAAGAATTTGTAGCTGGTTAAGGACAAACTAGTGTTGGCCCTCAGGACCCCCTTTTTTGCATATAATTTTTTGTCATTGACAGGGTAAAGAGTGCAGATATGTTATATAAAATGCAGATTAACTTGCTGAAAATAATAAGCTATCACAAAAAACGATTATTACTAATAAAAGTGGAATGGTTTATTTTCAGATGAATGAAAAGTGCATGACCCCAATCATGGCTGCCACTGAGGAGAACAATGAAGATGTTGCTATGGTGCTACTGAGGTATGGTTGTGACCTTAATGGACAAGCCAAGGTCAGCAAGGTGTTACCTTGCTGTATAGTGAGGGAAGACTTGCATCCACATTTTGACCTTGAACCTTTGTTTCTAGCCTTGACCCACAAGAATGTTAAACTTCTAATCACATATATGAAGTTTTACTTCAATATTCCGTACAAACTGATCAAGGTGCTGTCGGACATCCTGAGGACATCCAGGGACATGAACACACAGTATTCACCTGCTCAGAAAAAGACAATACTGGCTGTATTTGATCATACCATGAAGCATCCAAGAAAACTACAGGAAATCTCCAGAGCTATGATTAGAGAAAAGTTGGGGAGTAGACCAGAGGTCAAACTGAAAGGTCTGACACTAGCAAGCAAGTTAAAAGATTATGTTTTGATGTCGGATGTTTTAGGTGAGGAGGAGGAGGAAGAAGAGCCATCACAGGAAGAGAAAGAGAGAGGGAGGTTTGGTTTAGTGTTTGACTAGGTCAGTTAATGTAAAAGGTCATCCACTACATACCAGGTACCCTGTACAATGTAGACACTGCCAAGATCTTCAACTGATACGAGAATATGTGCAATTTTGTTGCTTACAGGTTAATTTTGTTTTTATTTATACCCTTATATTCTCATGTTTTTTGTTTGTTTAATACATGTATTTATGTTTTCACCAGGTTGAAACCTGTACCTTGTTGTAATGTTGTCATTCTTTACATTATTTATTACTGACCTTAAATGGCCTTTAATTATACTCAGCAGCTGGCGAGTAATACTTTCATATCTGCTAAAAATGTACAGGTTTCGCCATTTTTGCAGTTTTACAAGTCTTCCTGTATGCCCGAGCCATACTTTGGTGCATGTCCCTGTGCTAACAGCAGTGCAATACAGTTAATCCATCACTACCCAGTATTAGACCGTGTTGGCTTACATATATATTTGTTATTACCTGGTAGCTATTTGCGGTGAATTTGATGATTTTCCNATACTGTAGACTCAGGTGACCGTTTAGGCCCATGGGCCTCTTGTGTTTCTTGGTTTTGAATATGAATACATGCCTGTGTAGCTCTAAAGATGGTACAGTAAGTTGGTTTTTCACTCCTTTACTCCGTCCATCATAGATATAGATTGTAGTTGCTTTTGAGAAATTATTTATTCTAGACAACTGACATAGATACCATTGTTTATCACCAGACTTTTGTTGCTGTTTTCAGAGAAGATATGGAAACATGATGTAGNGTAGACTCAGGTGACCGTTTAGGCCCATGGGCCTCTTGTTTTGGTTCTGACCACTCCCAGGTAACAGGGTAGAAATTCTGTGTCTCCATCTAAACCTGATAGACTCTGTTAGTATGTTGTCGTAAGATTTATATGCAATTGTTGTAGTGCAATATTTTGAATTATTCTGTCTTTTTTTATACGCCCGTCAAATTTGACGGAAGTAATATGGTATGGGGTTGTCCGGCCGGCATAAATTTTTGTTTGTCCGGCAATCTCCTCCTACATTTTTTGACCGATCTCTTTGAAACTTGGTATACATTATAAGCATGATATGAAGTTGTGTCTCCCTTAAAAGAATTTTGATTCAACATTTTTTCCAAAAAGGTTATTGCCCTTTGTTCATTTCATTATTTGATTTTTTGTCCGGACATCTCCACCTACATTTTTTGACAGATTTCTTTGAAACTTGGCACGCTAAATAATAATGATATGTTGTTGTGTTTCCTTGAAAAGAATTTTGATTGAAATATTTTTGCAAAAGTTATTGCCCTTTGTTTATTTCAGTATTTGATTTTTGTCTGGCAATCTCCTCCTACATTTTTCAACGAATCTCTTTGAAACTTGGTATACATTATAATCATGATATAAAATTGTGTCTCCCTTAAAAGAATTTTGATTCAACGATTTTTGCAAAAGTCGTTGCCCTTTGTTCATTTCAGTATTTGATTTTTTGTCCGGAGATTTTCTCCTACATTTTTTATAGCATGTCAGCTAACCACTCTTAGAATGATGCAGATCTTCTTTCAATGTAAGAAAGTATTCCGTCTTTGCGTATTGCAGAGTTATCTTCTCTTGGGAGCAGGTATTGATTGTTACGTCATTGGTTTGTGTGAGAAAACTTTGTTTTCTCAAAAATTGATGACGTTACTCTCACAAACAAGTGACGTAACAATCAATACCTGCTCCCAAGAGAAGATAACTCAGCAATACGCAAAGACGGAATATAACACTATATGGCATTCGACGGGCGTATATTGTTCCGCCCGCGGTACTCTTGTTTATGTTATATGATGCATTATCTTTAACTTTGATGTTTGTTTTCTGGCTGCTCCTATTCATAGTGTTCAGAAATTCTGTCTTCATGAATGAGACCTCACAGTATGCTGTGAATTACATTTTCATGCAGATAGTCATGGATTGTTATTTCTGGTGAACCTTAATTAAAACATGAATTGTTATATTTGGTGGGTGAACCTTGATTCAATCATGAATTGTAATATCTGATGAACTTTGATTCAATCATGAATTGTTATATTTGGTGGAACTTAATTCAATCATGAATTGTAATATCTGATGAACCTTGATTCAATCATGAATTGAAATATCTAATGAACCTTGATTCAATCATGAATTGTAATATCTGATGAACCTTGATTCAATCATGAATTATTATATTTGGTGGAACTTGATTCAATCATGAATTATAATACATTTATCTGGTGAACTTGATTTAAACATGAATTTTAATATCTGGTGAGCCTTTATTCAAACATGAATTGTAAAATCCTTGAACCTTTATTCAATCATGAATTTTAATATCTGGTGAACCTTGATTTAAACATGAATTGTAATATCTGATGAACCTTGATTCAATCACGAATTGTAATATCTGATGAACCTTGATTCGACCATGAATTGTAAAATCCTTGAACCTTTATTCAATCATGAATTTTAATATCTGGTGAAGCTTTATTCAACCATGAATTGTTATATCTGGTGAACCTTGATTCAATCATGAATTATAATATCTGGTGAGCCTTGATTTAAACATGAATTGTAATATCTGGTGAACCTTGATTTAAACATGAATTGTAACATCTGGTGAACTTGATTTAAACATGAATTTTAATATCTGCTGAGCCTTTATTCAAACATGAATTTTAATATCTGGTGAGCCTTTATTCAAACATGAATTGTAACATCCTTGAACCTTTATTCTAACGTGAATTGTAATATCTGGTGAACCTTGATTTAAACATGAATTGTAATATCTGGTGAACCTTGATTCTAACCTTTATTTAAACATGAATTGTTATATGCATTATGATTAAACACATTTCAATACAACGGTTGGAATTAAGGTTCTTGTTACTTGTTCAGTTATAGAACATGGTGCTAATTTATTTAATTTAAAACAACAGCCGATCTTGTTACCTGTTCAGTATTGTTTCTGAACTGCAAGACATGCAGGTATCTTCAGAAATCTAATAAGACAGGCTCAATCATGTAAACAATTATAATGCAAGAGAAGTGTGGATTGAAAGATTAATATTGTGAAAGACATCTTTTTGAAGCACAGTACTAACTAGACAAGTAAGAACTGCCATGCCCCCTGATTGGTGCTTTTGATATCAATATATTACAAAACACTTTCAAAAGAAAATGGTATCTATGTCCCTAGGTGATATTTAGATGTGACAAAAAGGTCATATACAGTTGTATCCCTAAATTAAAATGTTTGACAATGATTTTACAATCAGATTTTCACATTTTATGATTTTTTTGTTAGCATAAGCAGATATAAAGGGAAAATTTCTCAAAGAGCAATGCGAAAATATGTAAGAGGTTTGTCAGGTGAGCATTAGACTGATTCAATGTGGAGTTTTGATGTTTATCATATATTTATAAAATGTGTATGAAAGGTGGACATTATAAATTATGATCATGTGCCAAATATTACCATTGTCAAATAAATATGTTGATTGAATCCACACATCCGTGTTTGTTCTCTTTGTCTTCTTTTTTATCGATTGTCTATTGGGAAACTTTCACCCAATTATTTTCGCTGTGTTAATTTAGCCTGTCACTTGTAATTACCATTTATGCTTTGCTGCAAGCTGATATTGAAAATTTCAAGCAACAACAACAAAAACTAAATTATGGAGAGGTTACTTATCTACAAAACCCTACAATGGGATTCTCTAGTGTTTTGCCTGCAACAGGATCTAGGAGAGGAATCCTTTAAGGTGACTGAAAAGAAACTGATTCAGTTTATAGTTACGCCATAGTATGGTAGCTACATGTAGTAGGTCAAATTCTACACCTGATTTAGCTTTTGAAAGCCATCGGACAAGAAACAGGAGCAAAGTTCAATGTCAAATGACACACCTCACCAATTTTCAAGTGAAAAGTTGTGTACAAGATATCTTTTGAACTCATGAACAAATGTAGCTCATGTTCAAGCAATAGTATGGTAACATTTAGTTTTACACCTGATTAGATTTTGGATTTTAGTGTCAAAGGTCAGGCTGGATCACTGTCAATCATTCTCTGATTGCTGTAGGGTATAATATATATCTATGAGAGCTCCCATTCACTTTGTTCTAATTTCCAGCATTCTCTTGGGTGCAAAGTTTGCAACAACCACAATTTAAATTTGATTTCACATACAGGCCGAGGACCTCTTGTTTACTTTAGTAAAAAGTGATAAATTTAAAAGTTATAATATTGATAAAGGTAGTAAAAGTCCTCTATTCATTATGTAAATTTTAAATTGAATTTGTATTTTTGAAGGGATTTTTTAACCTAATGTGATTTTTTTTATCAATTATTTGTGGTCTGCTACCTGATTGTATGTGGTGCATAGAGTGGTCTCCCTTAAACTAGCTCTCCTATGATAATAGTCAACAAAAAAACATCTGTGAATGAAGTGCCAACAAGGCGAAATAAGACATGGGAAATACAGATACAAAGCTTAATTTTCGCAAAGCTGTTATACAGTTAACAACAAAGACACAGGTTTGTATTTTACACGTTTCGTAAGATATTTTGAACTTGGAAGGCAAAATATAATCATCAGATGTTCGCTGTTTCAATATCAAGTGCGACATCGTTTCGGTTTATTGATTTTCTCCCACTCCTGTCGAGTTATCACAGTGGATTTACGCATTATCACTCGTTAATTGCACGTAAATACTCAGATACATGCTATATTTTGACGGTTAAAGACGTACACAAAATAATGTTTTATTCTAAATCTTGCAATTCTCATGATATATATATAAAAAAAAGAATCCAACACAACATGTCGAACAACATAATTTATGAGCTCGACAACATATTTTATTGATGTGCGTTACAAACGATGAATGTTGTCCCAATGAAAAATAAAAGAAATTATTGATAACAATTTCTGTATTTGTGTGTTAAAGTATTTGTTAAAATGACATATTTTGAGAAGGTGTTTGAGTTAAAATTATATAAATATTAATGTGATCATGATAACAAAATAACGTATATATGTAATGTCTTGCTGATATGAGGATTTGCCCCTCATATGTAAGATTTCCCTGTTTACTGTGCAGTATAGGGATAAAAAATATGACCTAATTTACAGAGAGAAGCTTGAATGAAAACACGTAAACCACCTTTTATCAAATGTCACCATGAAAAGTTTCTTTCTGGAAACGCACATGTTCCCATATTTAGTATAATAATGAACATTATTGCACAACAATTTGAATTGTCACATCCAGTTTCTTGTAAAGTTGACAACACATAAGCCTACTACATATTTACTCAAACCAATAGCTAACAATTCAGTCAGGAAAATACATGCAAGAGCATTCTAGAAAAAGAACAGGGTCAGTCTGGTGGCGAAGTGGATAACCCACTTGCCTTTCACCAAGGCTGCCAGAGTTCAATTCTCAAATGGAACATGAAAGGAATTGGTACATCTGCCAGACCATGTGGGTTTTCTCCAGGTACTCTGGTGGTTTCCTCCCACATTAAGACCTGCCATGTGGGCCAACAAGAGTGGTATAAGTTGAATAACTTGTTTCATAATTGTTGTAAAAGAAATAAAGTTTATAGATTCACTTATGTGAGATTTCACTTGAATCAAATTACCAAGGGATTACAGTGTTACATAATGCACAGAACTGTCATATACCTAGTGATATAAAGACGGCCTCCTATGGACCTAAACATGTCAGCACTGTGAATATAGTCAAGGAAATACAATTTTGAACAGGATCCAGTGGTGTTGTTGATCATCCTGTCTTCTGAGTTGACCTGCCACCATTAGAACTATATAAATACCATTAGGTATCCACCCCTCGATCACTAACGCCATATTGGAATTGACCCCATTGCAGGAAGGTTGTTGGTTCTGACCAGATGTAATGATGATGAGGTTGTATGTATGATTTACAATTAAAAGTCAGGTTGTACTCTAAACCCTTTTGTTTGCAAAACCAGATTCATTAAATTTGAAAAACAATCATTCAATTAAGAAATACCATTTACCATATTTTGACGCCTTTTTCCAACTTTAGCACCCCTAGAATGACGAGCATAATTAGCAGCTCTGTTGACATTTTTGTTCTGTAGCCAATAGAGGCCAGTGATGAGGCGTTCTGGGAACAGTTTTGGTCTGAAAGTGTGACATGTGTCCAGGATGTTTTCACACTGATTCCTGCAGCAGAGATTCGAGCACTGAGAGAAGAGTCTCCATCAAATCTTGCGACACTATGCTACAAGGCAGTGGAAAAGCTTGTGTCTGCTGCAGACTGTGGTTGTCCTTCCCAGCGAGAACAGCAGACAGGTAAGATGCATTGTATTTCACAGCTTTTGGCAGTTTCAAATAGTTAACCGAATTATGTACATTATTTAATACCTGAGAGATAGTTTAATTTCATAATCTGAGTTTATATAAGTGACCAAAGACTGTCTGAAAATAAAAATAAATGCCAATGTTTAAAATACACTTCAGTCTAGAACTCAAGATGAACTATCTTTTCTTAATAGCTATGACATTTTTCAATAAGAATATCCAAGAATAAGTTGCACCAAATTGCTCAAATAATTTTGTTTGTAGAGAAAAAATAGTTTTTTTTAAGGTGCACATGTTCATTAGATTATTAATAAAGATATATAAGATATGCCAAATGTGTGTGCAGTAGGTTCAACTGAATTGTTCAACATATAAACACATACTGTTAAAGCATTGACAAAGACAAAGATTTGGTAGGTGTTGACATGTAGATACAGAACATTATGTTGATGTATGTTGCAGTGTTAAACTGTGTGAGACTGCTGACCAGAGTTCTACCCTACATATTTGAGGACCCTGACTGGAGAGGGTTTTTCTGGTCTACCCTTCCTGGCCAGTCAGAGGAAACAGAGGTCAGTACTCCGTAAAAGATGCTAGTTAACCAACATAGGGAAAGCTTGTCAGCACTTTTTTGTTTGTCATGTTAATTGTAAACTATCAAACCAGTCATGTGTAATCCAGAACCAGTACACCAGACCTTATACTAGATCCCCATTATAGTTTTTCTATGTATATTGGATCCTGTGTAATCTAAAGTTTTTTTTCTAATCAAAACATTGAGTAAAACCTCATTTAATGCCCCACATTCCGTTTGCCACCCTAACCCCTGCACACCTCCAACATATTTCAAGGTCCCTTTTTCCCTTACTCTTAAGAATTCCCTTATATTTTCCCCTCAATGCACCAAACTCCAGATCTTATAATGCCAACATTTCTCTGGACAAATGGTGGCAGTATAAAACGATTTTACTGTATTTCACTGTAACACTCGGTACCAGGGACATGATATACTGTAACACTCAGTACCAGGGACATGATAAACTGTAACACTCAGTACCAGGGACATGATAAACTGTAACACTCGGTACCAGGGACATGACATACTGTAACACTCAGTACCAGGGACATGATATACTGTAACACACAGTACCAGGGACATGATATGCTGTAACACTCGGTACCAGGGACATGTTATACTGTAACACACAGTTTATACAAGTATCACTAACTGTACCAATGTATATGTACCTTTGATATCATGTACATATTGTTTCAGAATGAAAGTCCACCATTGGCGCAATCCCTGATCAATGCCATATCAGTAAGTAATGCTATCTGATCAGTAAAATCTCCGTAATTATTCTTATCCGGCTGTCAGGGATTTTCCTATACTTTATTTACTATGGGTAATGGGTAGTGTTCCCAGTTGGAATAATATTAAACATCAATGTAATAAGATATCTGTATAACATGCTTATTTATGTAAGATACGTGGTATGTGTATAAAAAATTGTATGTATTAACACAGCTGTTAAACATGTTATCTCATTGAAAGCTGTAGTTATTGTAAAATGTTGGGGCCCAACTCTAATTTCAGCAAGTGATTAAATTGGTTATGCATAAGAATATGAGACATTTCTGTTTACGAAAAATTGGGATACCTTTCAATTATTTTTTTCTCATATTTTGATACAAAAATGGGATAAAGGGACCACTGGGTATCTGATTGTTGTGCTGTATAATAGTGTTTTATTTAAGCTATGTAACAACTGTATTTTAGGACCTGCTATTCTGCCCAGATTTCACAGTAGCATCCAGTAGGAAGACAGGACCTGTAAGTATTTACTAGTGAAATTATATTTTATCATTAAAATTGTTTATTCTTAGGATTGTGATAAATATCTTCCTTTTCGATAAAATTAATTAAAATTAAATTAGAAATAAGACCTGTTGTTTATATGTGTTATGATACTTGTAAAAATGTTATGTTGATATATACTCTATATACCTGTTAGTTAAAACCAAAGTACTCAGATCATAGTATTGCCGTTCTATGCAGTACCTGTATTGGCGTAGGAATATGATATCACGGTTTTGACCAGTCGCAGCACCTCCCAGGTCTTATTACACATGTATAATACTATATTTATGACATGGCCGTATGGGTAAAATGGGTCAGTTATATGTGATAAACCAAAATAAACCACCAAGAGAGAAACTTTCTTTTTTCAGCATAAATATAAGGATTGAAATAAAAAAAATAACTTTGTTGTAAAGCCTTTAATAAATTTTACTATACCTGTATATACCTGATACAGGATAACCCTGAAGACATGCACACTATAGACAGTTGTGAGTACATCTGGGAGGCTGGTGTCGGCTTTGCTCACTCTCCCACCAGGAACCAGTACTACGACCAGAACCGATGTGAGATTATCAAACTTCTACTCACCTGCTTCTCCGAGACCATGTACCTCCCTCCTGTTGGTAAGTACACTTTATTCAAAAATGAACAATTATAGATACAAATAGAATATAGAGAAAATCTGAAATTAGAAGAAAAAAAATCTTTAACGTTTGTTGGGATTATTAACAGAATATAAATATTAGACAGGTTTGGGATCATGTTGGTATTTGTACCAAAAGTTGACTGTTTCTTGTTTTCACAATATAATTCTGAGATGGCCTGTTTTACAGCTGATGCTCACAGTCATCCGAATCAGTGGATCCAATACTTCTCCTCCACAGAAAACAGGTAGGTACTGAATCCAGTGTCTCAATGGCAGGGTTTTATGTTAGGACATGTATGTGGGTGGTTTACCAGCGGTTAGTCATTTTTGTCTTAAAACTTTGTTTGTGATGTATGGGTTGGTTTATTGGTTATAAACTTTGTTTGTGATGTATGGGGTGGTTTACTGGTTATAAACTTTGTTTGTGATGTTTGGGGTGGTTTACTGGTAATAAACGTTGTTTGTGATGTATGGGGTGGTTTACTGGTATTAAACGCTGCTTGTGATGTATGGGGTGGTTTACTGGTATTAAACGCTGCTTGTGATGTATGGGGTGGTTTACTGGTATTAAACGCTGCTTGTGATGTATGGGGTGGTTTACTGGTATTAAACGCTGCTTGTGATGTATGGGGTGGTTTACTGGTTAAAAACTTTGTTTGTGAGGTATGGGATGGTTTACTGGTTATAAACTTAGTTTGTGATGTATGGGGTGGTTTACTGGTTATACACTTTGTTTGTGATGTATGGGGTGGTTTACTGGTATTAAACGCTGCTTGTGATGTATGGGGTGGTTTACTGGTATTAAACGCTGCTTGTGATGTATGGGGTGGTTTACTTGTTATAAACTTTGTTTGTGATGTTTGGGGTGGTTTACTGGTTATACACTTTGTTTGTGATGTATGGGGGTGGTTTACTGGTTATAAACTTAGTTTGTGATGTATGGGGTGGTTTCCTGGTTATAAACTTTGTTTGTGATGCATGGGGTGGTTTACTGGTTACAAACTTTGTTTGTGATGTATGGGGTGGTTTACTGGTATTAAACGTTGTTTGTGATGTATGGGGTGGTTTACTGGTTATAAACTTTGTTTGTGATGTATGGGGAAGTATATTGGTTATAAACTTTGTTTGGGATGTATGGGGTGGTTTACTTGTTATAAACTTTGTTTGTGATGCATGGGGTGGTTTACTGGTTACAAACTTTGTGATGTATGGGGTGGTTTACTGGTTATAAACTTTGTTTGTGATGTTTGGGGTGGTTTACTGGTAATAAACGTTGTTTGTGATGTATGGGGTGGTTTACTGGTTATAAACTTTGTTTGTGATGTATGGGGTGGTTTACTGGTTATAAACTTTGTTTGTGATGTATGGGGTGGTTTACTGGTTATAAACTTTGTTTGTGATGTATGGGGTGGTTTACTGGTTATAAACTTTGTTTGTGATGTATGGGGTGGTTTACTGGTTATAAACTTTGTTTGTGATGTATGGGGTGGTTTACTGGTTATAAACTTTGTTTGTGATGTATGGGGTGGTTTACTGGTTATAAACTTTGTTTGTGATGTATGGGGTGGTTTACTGGTTATAAACTTTGTTTGTGATGTATGGGGTGGTTTACTGGTTATAAACTTTGTTTGTGATGTATGGGGTGGTTTACTGGTTATAAACTTTGTTTGTGATGTATGGGGTGGTTTACTGGTTATAAACTTTGTTTGTGATGTATGGGGTGGTTTACTGGTTATAAACTTTGTTTGTGATGTATGGGGTGGTTTACTGGTTATAAACTTTGTTTGTGATGTATGGGGTGGTTTACTGGTTATAAACTTTGTTTGTGATGTATGGGGTGGTTTACTGGTTATAAACTTTGTTTGTGATGTATGGGGTGGTTTACTGGTTATAAACTTTGTTTGTGATGTATGGGGTGGTTTACTGGTTATAAACTTTGTTTGTGATGTATGGGGTGGTTAACTGGTTACAAACTTTGTTTGTGATGTATGGGGTTGTTTACTGTTAGCTTACGGGTAGTAAGTATGTAATTTCTGTCTGTATATAAACTTTGTTTGTAATTATGTACAAGAGGGTTATTTATACTTTGGTTACGTCTAACTTTGTTTGTGTTGATGTTTGGGTAGTTCAATCTCTGTAAACCATGTTTGTGTTGATGTTTGGGTAGTTCAATCTCTGTAAACCATGTTTGTGTTGCAGACATGCCCTGCCACTCTTTACCTCACTCCTGAACATTGTGTGCGCCTATGACCCGGTAGGGTATGGTGTACCCTACAACCACCTCATGTTTAACGACTCGAGTGAACCACTGGTGGAGGGCGCTTTACAGGTGCTTTGTGTGACGTTAGAGAATGATTCCTCCTCGCAGCAGAATGTGTCTGTGGATGGGACGTCTGGGGGTACCGCCATGGAACAGCAGAGTGATGTAAGACATTTTCATATGAAGGAAATTCAAAGACTAATCAAACAGCCTTTTTTCACTCAAAATCTCACATATGTCTCTCACACACACCTATTTATTCAACTTCTTGATGTTCCCTCACTGTATATTATCCATTAAAAAATCAATTCATATAAGCCAATTTTTTTAGATTGATTACTTTTATTTCAATAGAATCAATTTTAGTCTTTGACCTAAATTGTTATCAAGTTGACTGAAGTTAACAGCTGTAGAATTTATGTGAAATATTAGATGTTTGGAAATAGATATCCACACTGGTGTGAAATTCTGACCTGACAGAATATAGGTATTACACTGTTGTGAAATTCTGACCTGACAGAATATAGGTATTACACTGGTGTAAAATTCTGACCTGACAGCATATAGGTATTACACTAGTGTGAAATTCTGGCCTGACAGAATATAGGTATTACACTGGTGTGAAATTCTGGCCTGACAGAATATAGGTATTACACTGGTGTGAAATTCTG